AAAAATGATGGTATTTTGCAATCAAAATGTTTAGACTGTGTGAGTCTATCATACACAACAGTAGAGTTTATCTAACCATTATTTTCATCTGGTTTATATTTTAAGCCTAGTTAAGAATTTAATTTTATGGCAGACATACTACCACACACAGAGAATCCAGCTGCACATAACTTTCTTCTTCACTGGCAAACTCAGTTCGAGTACCATAGAAAGGATTTAAACTGAAAATAAAAAGGATTCAACAGTAGTAGTAGTAGTATGAGAAAAGAGAAGCCTTAGTGAATGTAGTTAAGCATGATAAGTAAGCAGCAGGCAGAGTAGGTTTAAGGCATCAAGTTCTAGACTCAGGATTGTCCTTCAAGACAATGTATGTATGTGTATAGCTGGCCACTCGTATTTGAAGATACCCGTCTACTAGGGTGGCTAGCAATGCCTATTGCCTATTGCAAATATGCCTATTGCAAATGCTTGCTCAGGCATATTTGTGTGTATTCAACATGCACAGACCTGTGGTTTATACTGCAACTATGCTGAGAAGACCTTATTTACAGTTTCTGGGAAAGAGCGTGTTATCTAGCATGATCAACAATTTGAACAAGGCCAGCCCTCGCAAGCCCTTGGCCATGATGACTTGTGACTTCCTGCCCCAAAGTGTTCTGTCTACCCAGTTTCACTCAGAAGGCTTGGGTCAACCCATGATATGGTTTTCAGGCACTTTCCAAAGGTGCCACATGCTGGAATTGACCCCTCCAGTCCAATAACATCAGGAAGTCTCCTTCCTGATAAATCAACCATGGTAAAATTCAAACCCTGGTCTCATGGTCAGAATGTGTGCGTTCTAACTTTTTGCCACATGCCCATAATAGCCTAGTAGATTAACCCTTTAGCATTCAACCTGCACAATCTTGTAAATATTGACTTTCAATATTCTATCCACCATAACCCATCCTATGTATATTCTGCCATAATATGAATGTAATGACAAAAGTAGGCAGGTGTAGGCTTTAAGAAAGTTTTATTCAGCTGAGAATACAAGGTTCACATATAGTGTCCTTTTATAGTCCCAGTAAACAGAAATAACTCTCTGAAAGAGGAGAGTAACAAAACAAGGGGAGACCACTCTTGATTATTCATAACAATGATGATGACATCATCATAAATAATGCCAGAAGTCACACAAACATTGAGACTTTAACCATAAACAGTGAAAGTTTGAGAGCCAATAGTTATGGGGTGTGTTTGAGCATGTTAGGACTTGTAGTTTGTTTTGTTTTGTTTTACAGCATATCAACCTCAATGGGTTATTTAGTGCCGACAAGATTTTTATTGCTGGAAATACTTTTTCCAAAAATGTATTGCTGGTAATATATTTTTCTTCAAAAATGTATTGCTGGTATTAAAACCTATTTTCACACTTTCATAGTGTTTTGATCCCAGTTTGGGGTTAACTATTTGCCCATAACTGGGACCCTAACAGGTGCTACCACCCTGGGTCAGGGTAGACCTGGGAACACCAGCAATTAAGAGAGGGTTCTACGCTCCTCAAAGCCTCCTGATTAGAGGTCTTGCTGCTGGATGCAGTTTATTGTCATACCCAGGACATAAGGATTTGTAGAGTGAGTGTCCATGGTTAAATGTAAATAAATGGCAGAAGTGACCAACAAACAAAAAAAATGACAAAGTTTGTAATAAACTATAACAAGAAAAAGAAAAGAAAAGAACAGGATAAAAAATAATATAAAGCAAGCAAACAATATATGCAAATTAACAGTAATAAGGCAAAGGAACAGTAATAAGGCAAAGCAACAGTAATATAGCAAAAAGTTCACAAACTAAGAATTGGGGTTAACGCACAAGAGTGAATTCAGATAAATGAATGTAGCATTTTGACTTCAAGACAAGAGAAGCCTTGGTGAAACCAGGACTGATAATATTTAACACCACCCCCACCTCACAAGGGATGTATATGGCACAAGGTCTAGTTCACCATGAGTTCTTTGAGCCCATAGGTTTGGCCAAAAATATTTCCTTAGAACCCGTATAAATGGGTTCAGGGTCTGTCTACCTCCTCGGACAAAACTTTGCTCTTCAGCAAAGCTTCGCCCGGGTTCCTCTCTGCCAAGAGCACAAAGTTCGACAGTTGAACAGTTTGGCACAGTTCCATGAAACCAGAAGTGATAATATTTAACAGCCCCCCGCCCCACAAGGGATGTATGTGGCACAAGAGCACGTTTACCATGGGTTCTCTAAGCCTGGAGACTCGGCCAAAAATATTCCCTTTGAACCCATATAAACGGGTTCAGGGCCTGTCTACCTCCCTGGACAAAACTTTGATTGATAATATTTAACAGCCCCCACACAAGTGATGTATGTGGCGCAAGGATGAGTTTACCATAGGTTTTCCGAGCCTGTAGAACCCGCATAAAGGGGTTCAGGGCCTGTCTACCTCACCGGACGAAACTTTGCCATTCAGCAAAGCTTTATCCAGGTTCCTCTTTACTCAAGGCAGAGTAATGAACATTTTGGCACTGTTCCATGAAACCAGGACTGATTCAGAGGAGATTGAGAAGTGGTCTATTTTATTAGCTAGGAAGAAATCCCAGCATGCATCTGTGTTGTAGAGTTATCTCACAGTGGAGGCTTGTATTTGTACAAAATCGGTCTTAAATAGGTTCGATGTACAAAACGTTAGGAACTTGATATAATAGGTATTACGCAGAGTAATCTTGTTGTGGTCACTGACTACTTTCTTATTCGACTAACGGTCGACTACTGTCGTCTGACATCAACTGACCCTCGTTTCTCTTACTACTTCTACTTACATTAGGTGGGAGAGGTGTGTTTCACCATAACACCCCCCTCTAGTTTTCTTTATTTATTTTTTACAGGAAATATGAAGAAAAAAACAAAAAAAAAAACTTCATTTTTTTAGCAACATCGTAGCGTATCTCCTACATTTTGGATCCACTTTTAAATGATCAGTTGCCTTTCTTTTTCTCCTGGATCGGCGTACCTCAGGTAAAATCGTTGCAGGCATTGTTAGATCAAATGTACCGAAAATCACCTCCATCAGCATTTCTTCTGCGGGACCGCTGTCAACCACATCTGAAGAGTGTCGTCTGATCTGGTTAATGTGCCTTCTGCACGTGAAATTTCACCAAGTACATCATATTGCCAATCCGCTTTTCAATTTTTCCAATCTTCCAGAATGATTTATTCTGCCTATAGACCATAAAATATATTTTTTCACCAGGATTGAATTTTTTACTTGAATAAATTTTTCTCTACCTGGCTTTGTCTTTTTTGGTAATAATTTGTCAAAGACAGATCTTACCTGATGTGCAAACATCACCTTGGTTGGCGATTGTGAGGCTGGTGTTCTGTTATTTGAGGTAATTCTGTATACCTGTAGAAACTTCTGTAGAGCTTCATCTGCAGGTATTTCCCTAGCTTTCTTTAGAGCTCTTTTTAGGGTGTCCACAAATTTTTCAGCTAACCCGTTTGATCTTGGGTGATATGGAGCTGTGGTAACATGTTCGACGTTGTATTCCTTGCAGAAATCTTTAAATTGTTTCGATGTAAACAGACTTCTGTTATCAGTCACAATTGTGTCTACTACACCAAACCTTGTGAACAATTCCAACAGGAAGTTTTTAGTACTTTGCGTCGTTGGTTTTCTTATCCTTTATATCTCAGGCCATTTCGAGAAACTATCCACTACTATGATGTAATGGTATCCATTCAGTGGACCTGCGAAATCCACATGTAACCTAGATCATGGTAGGTCTGTTTTTGGCCAGGGGTTAAATTTTATTGGGGGTGCCTTTGAAGCTAAAGCATAGCCTTTACATTTTGCCACTGTATTCTCAATGTCCCTGTCCATATTCGGCCAATATACAAAACTTCACATTAGGCTCTTCATTCTAGTGCTGCGCGGATGACCAGTATAAAAATCCTTTAGTATTTGCTTTTGCAGTGTGTATGGAATCACCACATGTTCTCTGTATAACAATACTGTATCACAAAGCGAAAAAACATTTGTTGTGTACTGGTCCATCTCGGCTATTTTTTCTTTTATTTTCAAGATATACTTGTCCTTGGTGGCTTCTTTTTTTATTTTTTCTAGAGTTACCAGAAGTTCCCAAAATGCATTACACACAGTAAATTTCAGCTCTTCTTCTGACTTCAGTGAGGCAATTACCGTGTCTTCTAATGGTTCGCTCATTTTAGGAATTAACCTGGACAGCCCATCAGCATAGCCAAATTTGTTTGATGGTATTTACTCCATGCTGAAGTTATAATTTAGCAGTATTATACCCCATCTCTGTAGTCAGTTGGCTGTATTCATCGGCAAACCCTTTTTCAATCCAAAAATCGAAATTAGAGGCTTATGATCAGTTTGTAGCTTAAAATGTTGACCATGCAGAAAACGGTGAAATTTCGCTACTGCAAATATTATTCCTAGCACCTCTTTCTCTACCTGAGAGTAATTCTTTTCAGCCGGAAGTAGTGCTCTAGAAGCATGCACAATTGGTTTTACTTGACCATTTGTCATTTTGTGTAAGATACATGCTCCTACTCCATACGCACTTGCATCGCAAGCTACTATGATTTCTAACTCAGGGTTGTAATGGGTTAAAAATAATTCCGAGGTTAACACTTCCTTTATCTTTTCAAATTTTTTTTGGCATTCATTAGTCCATTTCCAGGGTTTTCCTTTCTTCAGTAGTTCATTTAATGGTGACCGCAGATCATACATTTTAGGAATGTAAATTTGGTAATAATTAGCTAATCCCCCAAAACTTTGTAATGTGGTAATATCATCCGGAGCCAGCATGTCTTGAAGAGGAAATTAGTCCTTGTGTAAATAATATAATGATAACTCATCCCAGAAATTCAGGCCAGACTGAAAATAAAAACTTTCTCTTCTGGAGGTTAACTGATGTCTTCACTTTTTTTCTTTCTTTCCAAGAATAATCCTTCAGGCTTATGGCCACAAA